ATGGTGATGATCATCATGATCATGATCATGAATATGACTATAATGATGTTGGTGATGCCGATGCTAATGCTGATGCTGATGTTGATGAAGATGCTGGTGACGATGATGATGATGATGATGATGATGATGATGATGATGATGACGAGGAGGAGGAGGAGGATGGTGATGCTGATGCTGACGGTGATGATGATGATGATGCAGATGAATATTGTGATGATTGTGGTGATGGTGGTTGAGATGGTGTTGGTGATAGTGATGGTGGTGATGGTTGCTCTGATGCTGATACTTGGAGAAAGAGCGCAGCGAATGTTATTCAACTTGTGATTATAAAGATATGATTGCCCCTTTCCGTAGTTTTTACTGGGCTCATTGCCCAGGCATGCTGTCTTTCGAGCGAAGTCTTTGGGGCAGCATCGAGCACGGCACTTCATGATGTTAATGCATGTCCCTCAGAGCCCGGGTCAACTTCGCCGGCGCCGAGGGGGGCCAAGCCGATGGTGGGTGATTGGTGGGGCGCGGGCCACGTGCGCGACAACGTTCTACGGGTGCCACGCGGCCTGGCGCGCTGGGACCGGCCGCGAGGCCAAGCAACGGCTGTGCCTCGCAGCGTCGGCTGGCACCGTCGGCGCGCCCGCGACGCCGTGGCGAGCAGGGCTCCCGGGCGGCTGCCGCCGGCGGCACGAGGAGGCCGACGAGAGGTCCCCCGCCCCCGCGCGCGGCTGGTGTCGCTGCGGCTGGGCCGGGCGGTCCCGGAGCCCAGCGCCGCCCGGCGGCGGCGCTGGTCTGGCGCCCGCCGCCGGGCTCCCTGGCTGGGCAGGGCCCGCGGGCCTCGCCCTGCCCAGTGGCCTGGCCTGGTGCACCCCAGGCGGCCCAGTCGGGAGGAGGCCGCCGCCGGGCTCCCTGGCTGGGCAGGGCCCGCGGGCCTCGCCATCGCCAAGTGGCCTGGCCTGGTGCACCCCAGGCGGTCCAGTCGGGAGGAGGCCTCGGCATCGCGACCCTCAGGCCGTCTCGCTTCGGGCCTCTGTCGGACTCGCCGTGGGTGTCGGCAGATCTGGGGGCCGTGCGCCCTGCGCCGTCCGGCCGTGGCGTCCAGCGGGACCCCAATCGAGCCAGTGCTGGCCCGAGGAGGCAGGCCCTACAGGAGGAGGGCCAGGCGGCTGGCCTTGTCTCGCCTGCCCACACTCCTGCTGCTCACTGCTCGGAAGGGGGGTGACAGCCGCGCTCTCTCCGCGGGCGCGCAGGATAGTTGTGGGCAACCAGGATGCAGACCGGCTTGCCAAGCACGCGTCAGGCGTGCATCCGGGTCTTTCCGTTGGAGATGGGCGGCGAGTCCAGGGGGGAAGTGAGAAGGTGAAGGCCTTCTCAGAAGGCTCGGAATTCCCCCGGTCTTCTCTGGAAGTTTTCTGAGCCTTCTCCGAAGACGCAGAAAACTTGTCAGAAGTCGCTAGGGCTTCTGAGAAGCCCCGCCGCCTTCTGAGAAGGCCTTCGCCATCTCACTTTCCCCCCTCGCTCGCCGCCGAGTAGAGCTCGAGCAGTTGATATGATGTGGTCGTGCTTCGTAAACGTGCGGCCATGATTGGTGCTGAGCTCTCTGTCTCTCTCTCTCTCTCTCTCTCTCTCTTTCCGAAGTTGACTTTTTGTCGGGCACCCGCGACTGCCCAGGATGAAAGCCAGAGCCCTGCGAGCCATCGAGTGGCACGAATGGGCTATCCCGGATCCTGGGGATGATCGGCGGCGAGCGAGGGGCAGAAATGAGAAGGAGAAGTCCTTCTCAGAAGGCGGTGGGGCTTCTCAGAAGCGATCTGGTCTTCCGAGAGGTTTTCTGTGTTTTCGGGGAGGACTCAGAAGACTTCCCCGAAGGCCGGGGGGGGCTTCCGAGCCTTCTGAGAAGGCTCGACCCTTCTCACTTCCCCCCTGGGTTCGCCGCCGAGATGAGGAAACGCCGTGCGCTGCCCGATGCACGAACAGTCGCAACACGACGCTTGGCGAATGCAGGCTAATGACGGGATGTAAAGGCCTGCTGTCGGCCCCCCGTCGTGTGACAGGTGCTGAGAGCGAGCGTGGCCATCTTTTGGGCACGGCCCTCTGCCAGGATGAGGAGTGTGCCCCGCTGCTTTTCTGTTTCCATTGCGGCGCTTGCACCAGCAAACGTTGTTTCAGGCTTGCAGGCGAGTGTGCTGGCGCGACTGGACCATGCGGTCGAGGCGCGTTCAAGAGAATTCGCCAAGACCTTCACTCTCACTACAGGTCGGAGGGTACCGTTGCTATTGGCGCTGGCACCACCTGTCGTGTCTCGGCCAAGTACGTGCTGCTGACGGCAACGGGGCATGGCCCAACCTCCTCAGCAGGATCGACCCAAGGCCGCAAGTTGTTTGTTCTGCCTCAGGCAAGATCGAGGAAGTCCTCATCCTCCTCATCTTCCTCCTCATCCCTTGTCCTCCGGATCCTCTACGTCTCCCTTTAGCCTTCCTCCTCAACCCCTCCTCCTCTCTTCCTGATCCCCCTCTTCTACCCCCCCCCTCCCCCTCCCCGTTCTCCCGCTCCTGCTTCCAGCCCCCACCGCCCCAACTCCTCCTCCCCCTGCATCCCCGGGGGGAGGGAAGAGGAGGAGTTCATCAAGGACGCGGACGAGGCCCTTGTTACCTAACAGCTCTTGCTGATAGGTTTCTAGTGGGGTCAAAAGAGAGCATCTTGACGCCCCAGGGGGGTCTGGGCGGGAACCGGACAGGGGATCCGGCAGGATCCGGCAGCCCCAGGAATCTTTAGGAATTCTCAGGAATCTTTAGGAATCCATTCCCAGAACACCATTCCCAGGCCACTTTTTGAATGCCTGGAGCCAACTGTAGGCCACTTCGTGTTCTTCGTCTTCCCAGAACACCGTTCCCAGGCCTCATTTTGAATGCCCGGAGCCAGCTGTAGGCCACTTCGTGTTCTTCGTCTTCCCAGAACACCATTCTCAGGCCACATTTTGAATGCCCAGAGCCAGCTGTAGGCCACTTCGTGTTCTTCGTGTTCCCAGGCCATATTTTGAATGCCCGGAGCCAACTGTAGGCCACTTCGTGTTTTTCGTGTTCCCAGAACACCATTCCTGTACCATACTTTGATTGCCCGGAGCCAACTGTGATTGCCAGGAGCCAACTGTAGGCCACTTCGTGATCTTCGTGTTCCCAGTGCACTAGTCCTGTGCCATATTTTGAGTGCCCGAGCTGAGGCAGGCTGAGGCCGAGGCAGGCTGAGGCCGATGCTGAGGCTGAGGCTGAGGCTGAGGCTGAGGCTGAGGCAGGCTGAGGCTGAGGCTGAGGCAGGCTGAGGCTGAGGCTGACGCAGGCTGAGGCCGAGGCAGGCTGAGGCTGAGGCTGAGGCAGGCTGAGGCTGAGGCAGGCTGAGACTGAGGCTGAGGCAGGCTGAGACTGAGGCTGAGGCTGATGCAGGCTGAGGCTGACGCTGAGGCTGAGGCTGAGGCAGGCTGAGGCTGAGGCTGAGGCCGAGGCAGGCTGAGGCTGAGGCTGAAGCTGAGGCAGGCTGAGGCTGAGGCTGAAGCTGAGGCAGGCTGAGGCTGAGGCTGTGGCTGTGGCTGAGGCAAGCTGCGGCTGAGGCAGGCTGAGGCTGAGGCTGCTGAGGCAGGCTGAGGCTGAGGCTGAGGCAGGCTGAGGCTGAGGCAGGCTGAGGCTGAGGCTGAGGCTGAGGCTGAGGTGGCTGAGGCTGAGGCTGAGGCTGAGCAGGCTGAGGCTGAGGCTGCAGGCTGAGGCAAGCCGAGGCAGGCTGAGGCTGAGGCTGAAGCTGAGGCAGGCTGAGGCTGAGGCTGAGGCTGAGGCTGAGGCTGAGGCAAGCTGCGGCTGAGGCAGGCTGCGGTTGAGGCTGATGCAGGCTGAGGCTGAGGCTGAGGCTGAGGCTGAGGCAGGCTGAGGCTGAGGCTGAGGCTGAGGCTGATGCAGGCTGAGGCTGAGAGCCTGCCGCTGAGGCAGGCTGCGGCTGAGGCTGAGGCTGAGGCTGAGGCAGGCTGAGGCTGAGGCTGAGGCAAGCCGAGGCTGGCTGAGGCTGAGGCTGAAGCTAAGGCAGGCTGAGGCTGAGGCTGTGGCTGAGGCTGAGGCAAGCTGCGGCTGAGGCAGGCTGCGGCTGAGGCTGTGGCTGAGGCTGAGGCAAGCTGCGGCTGAGGCACGCTGAGGCTGAGGCTGATGCAGGCTGAGGCTGAGGCAGGCTGAGGCTGAAGCTGAGGCAGGCTGAGGCTGAGGCAGCCTGAGGCTGAGGCAGGCTGAGGCTGAGGCTGAGGCTGATGCAGGCTGAGGCTGAGAGGCTGACGCTGAGGCTGAGGCAGGCTGAGGCTGAGGCTGAGGCCGAGGCAGGCTGAGGCTGACGCTGAGGCAAGCCGAGGCAGGCTGAGGCAGGCTGAAGCTGAGGCAGGCTGAGCCTGAGGCTGTGGCTGAGGCTGAGGCAAGCTGCGGCTGAGGCAGGCTGACGCTGAGGCTGATGCAGGCTGAGGCTGAGGCAGGCTGAGGCTGAGGCTGAGGCAGGCTGAGGCTGAGGCAGGCTGAGACTGAGGCTGAGTTTGAGGCTGATGCAGGCTGAGTCTGAGAGGCTGACGCTGAGGCTGAGGCAGGCTGAGGCAGGCTGAGGCTGAGGCTGAGGCCGAGGCAAGCTGAGGCTGAGGCTGAGGCAAGCCGCGGCAGGCTGAGGCTGAGGCTAAAGCTGAGGCAGGCTGAGGCTGAGGCTGTGGCTGAGGCTGAGGCAAGCTGCAGCTGAGGCAGGCTGAGGCTGAGGCTGATGCAGGCTGAGGCTTAGGCTCAGGCTCAGGCTCAGGCTGAGGCAGGCTGAGGCTGACAGATATGCTTATACACATCGCTGTTAGGTTGCTTTGCCGGGATAATGTTTAACCTTGACGCATGTTTCAGAAATTGTCCTGGAAGCTTTCTGGACGGGAGGACGAGTTTGCAGCGTGGAGCGACGAAGCAGAGGCAGGAGGAGGGAAGAGGAGTGGGAGAGGAGGATGGACGACAGAAGAGGAGCCAGGCGCGAATCAGCCCCGGGCGCGACTTTGTGCCGCCCCCGCCGACCTTCCTGGTCGCCTCCACCGGCGACTCCGACTGCGCGCCCGCGACGCACTCGGACCCCTACGCCCAGGCCGCGATCGATGCGGAGGCCCGCGACCGTCCTGGCACCGCCCGGGCCCCATCACGTAATACGTTGCGCAACCTGGTTGGCATGCGCAAAGCCATGTCGATTTCGAAAACAAATCGGTCACTGCTAAGTGGGGCGTCCCTTTAGTCTCCGGGCCGGCATGGTTCCTGCATTGTCGTGGGCAAAACAGAACTCCCCGCGCGCGTTGTACGCCGCGCAAGTTGCCTCATGTACCAAAAGCCATGCTAACGTGGGAGTCATATGAGAAGAAGAAGAAGAAGGAGAAGGAGAAGGATGATGAGGCGGGCTCGGACGAAGATGAGAAGATGATGCAGATGAGGAGGAGGAGGAGGAGGAGGAGGAGGAGGATCCTCCCCATGTGGTTATCTTCGTCATAACCCACCCTCCGTCTCCTCCCCCTCACCTGCAAGAGCCAGGTCGGCGGGGACCGTGTGCCGACGAAGCGCTTCTGCCATGCTCGGCATTCGTGGGCCGGTTTCGGACCTCAGTGCCGTCAGACACTTGCTCGGGCTGAATAACGAGCCTTGGGAAGAGGGGTCCGAATTTCCGGGGGCTGCACATCGCAAGATCACGGCAGCTGGCCTCCTTGGACAATTCCGCAGCCCTTGGGCGTCTTGGAAGGTACAGACGGCAGGCAGGGTTTTCCTGGCCTGGGCCTTCGGAGGCCCGTTTCGGGCGCAGGAGGGGCGTCAGCGAGGGTATTGGCGCACCGTGGGTTCACCTGGCAGCTGCTCTTGGAGCTCCCGCCCATTGTAGAGCATCGCCGATTTCCGTGCCTTGACCGGTTGTTCCTCTCGTCCTTCCTTCAGGGGGTTGTTTGATCGATCCAATTCGATGCCGAGTTGACCCGGCTTGATCCGATTCGATGCCGATTTCCCCCGCGACCCGATGTGGCCCGATGTTTGCAAAATGTAGGCTTGTATCTTGGCGCAGCCGATCCGATTCGGTTTCGATTCCGTACCGATGCGTCCCGATCCGACGCACGTTCGGGTTCGATTCGATTTCCCGATTCTGAGTTTATCAGTTTGTTACCGGTTTCTCTCTTCAGCATCGTCAGACCCATCTCCATCCCCACCGGTAAAGCCTAGGCCCCGCTACCCGACCTAAAATTATTACCCTCACAGGTGGGGTCAGATGACCTCTCCACAGGGTTTCGCGGCGTCCATCCCCACCTCCAGCGGAGGCAGGCTGGTGGCGCTGAGTGACCCAGGTTCGCTGGAGATGGGGATATGCCTGACCATGCCGACATCTCGCACCTGAACTTGTCGACCGCCATTGCTTCTTGGCGCCCCGCCGCAGCGCACTGTCGCTGCATTATCAGCATCTCGACTTCTTATTATGATTTGTATGGTTAGTATTATTATTATCATGATTATTGTTGTTATTATTATGATTATTGTTATTGTTATCCTTCTTCCCAGGCTGTCACGCTTCGAAGGAGCGCTGCGTTTCGCAATGAAGTGCGACCCGCGTCGCGAAATCCATATGGGGCATTCCAGAAAGGGCCTCGGTGTCGAAGGATCGAACGGTTTGCCGTGTCTTGTTCGTCGGAAAGCCGTCGGATGTTGGCGGAAGTAAAAGATGCGCTCCAGGAGATGCCAACGGTATTGTATTCAGGGTTTCCAGAACTATGCGACCGATGAGGTCAAGAGGTCGGAAGCCCATCTTATTATTCGAGACAGCGCGTCTGAGGTCTGGACCAGGAATAATCAAACGGATCAGCCGTTGGCGAAGTCGGATTCGATCCGTATCTTTGTCGTGCTCCCCCTTGTCCTGGAGGAGGAGGTGGAGGAAAAAAGGAGAAGGAGAATCACCGAACATGGCAGACAGACCATGAGCGTAGGTGCCACTGGTCTACATGCGCGACGACTTTGGGGAGCACGGCTTCGCCCTCAGGGACTTCTGGGCCACCCCGTGCCTGAAGTGGTTACAGAGCTGTGGTCGGTTGGCCACACGAAGGGACAGGGGGGCCCAGGAATCGGGCGGCGAGAAGCATGCACGCACACACACACACACACACTTTCCCCCGACTCGCTGCAAAGTACAGTCAGCGGTTGAAGACTATGATGGGGTACGCTCAAAGTTGTTTGTTTCCTTCGTGAAGCTGGTTGAAAAGACTGTAGCCCCTTGGAGCCACACATCGGCAGAGGCAGGGCAACGCATGCACGCAGCCACACACACCCACACACAACGATCGTGGCGAGGCCCATCTTGGTTCCAGGATCGGTCCACATTCCCTTCTGGCCAATCCACACGCGCGTATGCACCGATGTTGGGCTCATGATGAGCTTCGACAGGGTCTGCGCATGTGCACGGTACGCGTCCTCTTAGAGAACGACCCAGGCAGCCCCCCGGGGAGGCCAACAAGAGCAGCCAGACTTGGCCGATCCTTGCCGTCTGGGCCTCTGGAGGGCCCGCCGGTCTGATCCCTCCTGGGGCCCCTCCCTCCAGGGTCAAGTTCGATATCCGAGCGATCTTGTCCCTCCCTCCCTCCTCCTCCTCCTCCTCCTCCTCCTCCTCCTCCTCCTCCTCCTCCTCCTCTCCTCCTTCTCTTACGCTGGTCTCCTCCTCCTCCTCCTCCTCCTCCTCCTCCTCCTCCTCCTCCTCCCTCCTTCCTCCTCCTCCTCCTCCTCCTCCTCCTCCTCCTCCTCCTCCTCCTCCTCCTCCTCCTCCTCCTCCTCCTCCTCCTCCTCCTCCCTTCCGGCCGGCTCGATCCGATCCGATCCCGATGTCCTCGCGATCCGATGCGGCCCGCTGCTTGCACCTGGCGCGGCGGGCCCGCCTGGACTTCGGCTCCGTGCCGGCGAGGCCCGATCCGACGCACACGTCCCAGGTCGCCCGCGGGGGCGCGGAGGGGACGGCGCTTCGCGCATCGCTGCCTGGGTTGGACAGCTGGCCTTCCCCTTGGGGTGCGGAGGTGACTGCGCCTCGCGGGGCGCGATGCGCGAAGCTGGGTGGCCTGGACGTCCGCCCCCGCCCCGGTGCCGACTGGTCCGCTGCCCACCGACCCTGCCCTCGTCCCGCGCCGGCCCACCGACCACGGCCGCCAGAGCCGCGGCTTCGGCCGAGCAGGCGACCGGCAGGAGCCGTGGGAGACGCCGCCGGCTCCCGCCTGAGCGAGGCGCGCCGAGCGCGCACGCGCATGCGCGGAGGGCACGACGTCCTCCCTCCTGACTCGCTCCCTCCTTGCTCGGAGCCGCTTGCTCCTCGCTCCTCCTCGCTCGCTCCTCGCTCGCTCCTCGCTCGCTCCTCGCCCCTACTCGCTTCTCGCTCCTCGCTCCCATGGCCCGCTCGGCCGAGCCGGCGGCCAGCAAATGCCGCGGGAGGCCTCGCGGCCAGCCGCCGGCGGAAGCGCGCGTGAGCGCGCGCGCAGGTGCCGGAGGGAGCCACGGTCAGAGGAGGGCGACTCCTCCTCCTCCTCCTCCTCCTCCTCCCCTCCTCCTCCTCCTCCTCCTCCTCCGCCTCCTCCTCCTCCTCCTCCTCCTCCGCTCCTCCTCCTCCTCTTTCTCCTGCTCCTCCTGCTCCTCCTCCTCCTGCTCCTCCTCCTCCTCCTCGTCCTCCTCCTCCTCCTCCTCCTCCTCCTCCTCCTCCTCCGGTAGTTGACCTCCGGGGGGGCCCTCTTGTCGCCACGGCTGGACGCAGCTCAGATCACTGGTGCGCTTGAGCCTGGGCAAGGGTCTGGGGACCGATTTTGAGTTTAGTTGCCTCGATTCGCCCGTTTTGAAACGCAACACGTCCTGCGTTGAAGACGTCCGTGTCAATACGTTGCGCGTTGCCTCCACGTATTGGACCACGCTTTGGCGAATGTATCGCGTCGGACCTACGTTCTCAGCCTACGTGTTGAGCTCCGTATCAACACGCTACGTGTTGCGCGCTGCGTATCGGTGCAACTAAGATTTTGAGCTGCCGTGGTCGCAGCTCGCCCTGCTCCAGCAGAGGAGAAGCAGAGGCCATCGCCACCGGGAGCCCGTCGCGGGGGCGGGGCCCGGCGGCGCCCAGGGCGTGCCACGGCCCAGGGACGGGTCTCCCCCAGCGGCCAGAGGCGCCACGTGAGCGACGCCAGACAACGGGGTCGCCTCCACCGATGCTGGCGCGCAGGCTGCCCGCGTAAGGTCGCGCGTGAGCGCCCGCGTCTCCAATGTGGCGTGCCGAGAGGGCGGGCCGCGTAAGCCCCCGCGCAAGGTCGCCGTGTCATCTCGCGGCGGTCTCGCTCTGGATCGCTGCTCACGCCTCCCCGGGCCCGCGCTCCTTCTGGGTGGGACGAGAAGGGGGAGGGGGGACAGGGAAGGGCGGCTTGCACGCACAAATTCGCTGAGCACCCCGCTCACCCGTAGCTGGGTTGCGTCTGCAACCACAGCGTTGGGTGTGCGCCGAAGCCTGCGCGCGCCGCAGGCTTCGGCGCACAAGCGGCGCGGAGCGGCGGCGCGGCGACTGCTCGCGCCTGCGTCCGCCGCGTGCGCCTGGGGCCAGCGAATGTGTGCGATGGAACCAGGGGCCGAACTCGTTCCATACAAAAATCTAGGAGGGGTAGGGAAAGGGATGCCGTTGCTCGTCCTGGAGGACCGTATTCGCGTATGCCGCATTCTCCCCGGAATGCTGGTCAGAACGCACCCCAGGAGAGGTCCTGAGAGTAGCGGTGTTTGTATTGCTCTGTTCCTCCTACAAACTGCCGCATGCGGTTGTTTTCGGCCCCGCCGTTGGCCGCACTCTTTCATGAGTAGCCGCCTCCGGCGCCGGAAAAAAAACAGCTAAATACGTTAGCGGATTCGCTGAACGTTGCCCCCGTTACTAACCCCCCTTTTCGTCCGGCCCGATTCTTGGTTCTGGGTCGCCATCGGAGGTCTGGGTTGTCCTCTCTTTGTGCAGGTGTGCCGCGCTCCTTTTTTGTGCGCGGCAGCGCTGTCGTTTTCCGCCTTCGACCCTCATAGCAGTTTGTCCCTGCATGGTGCGGCCTCACTGCCAGCGTCCGCCTTTTGGGGTGATAGCGGACGTTCGCGCAGCGGCCTTGTCCGAAGGAGGCCAAGCACGTGTTTCGCTTCCCGTGTACAGCGAAATCATCGCGCGGCTCTTCTTGGCGTTTTCTACGAAATTGGCAAATTCCAGAGAAGGTCTTCCTGCAGACGGGGAGGGATTCCTGCTCGTAGGAGTTGGCCTGAGGATTTCGACCTTGAGGGCTTGTTGAAAAATCGCGCTGGTCTGCTCTATCCGAACCTCTTCGTCCTCCTCCCGTCCTCCCCCAGGCCCATGTGTGTTCCGCGGAGTCGGCCAGGACGGCATTTGTGGCAGCGAAAACCGCATCAATACCAGCAGCAGTGGCACTTTCGGTAGTGGTAGGGTCAACGCGATTGTTGCAAGGAGTAGCCGCAATTGTACTGCCAGTCATGCGAAGCAGTAGTAGTAGCAGCATCACTAGCAGTGGTGGTGGTGGTCGCAGTCGGCTTGACGTTTGCTGCACCGTAGAAGTGGCCATGTTCATTCGAGCCCTTGCAGCTCGGGCGAAGGGTCGACAAGCGGCGTGGAGGGTCAGGAGGAGGAGCAGTCAGCGGAGGACAACCTGGGGGGTCAGGAGGAAGAGGCTTGAAGAGAACCAGGAGGAGATGAAGAGGGAGAAGGAGGGGGAGGACAGGACAGGACATCCGCATAAGCGGGTACAGCGTCAGAGCACCTACTCGGGTGACCTACGCGCTCCTGTCGAAATCCCCTTGCGATTTGTTGTGCTACAGCCCTGCCTTCTCACCAGGGCCGGCAGGAGAAGGAGGAGGAACAGGAGGAGGAGAGCGACGACGAAGGAGAGGATGAGGAAGGGGAGGAGGAGAATAAGGAGGACGAGGAGGAGGGCTTCGCGCTCCTCTTCTTGGGAGAGTCTGCTGGGGAATTCGTGGAGCGGCTATGTTGAGGTCGTCTTGGGGCCCTCTTGGGGTCCTCTTGGGACAATCTCTTGTTGTGGAGTTTGCGGGCCCTTTTGAGGCTCTTTGGAACGACGCCTTCTTGCGATGGGAGGGCAAAAAGAGGGCGCCATTTAGCCCCCCCACCCACACACACACACACACGCACGCACGCACGCACGCACGCACGCACGCACGCACGCACGCACGCACGCACGCACACACACACACACACACACACACACACACACACACACACCACACACACGCACGCACACCACGCACACACACACACACACACACACACACACACACACACACACACACGCACACACGCACACACACACACACACGCACACACACACACACACGCACGCACGCGCGCGCGCACGCACGCACGCACGCACGCACGCACGCACGCACGCACACACACACACACACACACACACACACACACACACGCACACACACACACACACACACACACACTTGGAAGCAATAACAAATACGCTTGGCGGCCTCATGCCGTCGTGGGACCTCTCAGATGTACGCTGGAGGCTATCATGAACCACTTTCCGCTATCTCGAACCATACTGGAGGTCAGATTGCAGCGTCAGAAGGCCATTTGGGAGCCATCTTGGATCCAAAAGGGCGGTCTGACACCTCGCGGGAGGAAGTCCAGACCCAGGGGAGGGAGTCTACATCTCCCCGAATAGTGGAAGGGCTTGGGAAGGAGGAAGAACAGAGCAGTTCTACCACCTGCGCCCAGAGAGGTGGTGGGATGATTGTTTATCTGAACGTACCTGTGCATCACACCGTGTTACAACACACCTTTCTTCTTCTGTGCGCACATGGATGCAGAGACTACACAGTTCGAGGTGTTCATGGGCAGATCGGGCTTTGCAACGGGCACAATGCGAGCCGCAGACAGCGGACCCGATTATGTGCAGTTGGCGCGATCGCTCGATGTTTCAATTGTTGCATGGGTGGGGTACGCTACCTTTTTGAATATGTTGCTATCGCATGAGATCCGCGCGCACTCTGGTATAGAATCCCAACAGTTGCACGGATGCAACACGGGCCGCTTGCAAAATGCGGCGAATGTCTTGGCGGCGCCGACCCAATTCGTCTCACAAGTTCTTATCAGTTGCACGGATGGAGCGCATGTCGTTTTCAGACTAGGTGGTTCTGGCGTGATTGCCGCACGCATTCGTCCCAACACATTCTTGCAAGTTGACCACGTAATTAAAAGACATTGCGTAAGCAATTCGCGCAAGGTGGTTGCGCCCCCCCTCCCTGAGACTCCGATTCTTCGTCAGTCAGTTTCCAATTGCTACGCTAATGGAGGGCGGGCCGTTTTCAAACCTTCCCGTGCTTCTACATGGCTGGGGGGCGGCTCCCTTCTCCAAACGCTACGGCGGGGGCGTTCGTTAAGGAATGCGCCCAGGAGGCTCAAGACCCTAGATGATTCCTTCTCTGCTGAGGGCGGCTGTGGTATCCATGGCCAATCCACGATTGGACTTCAACCGGCTTCCAGGCCATGGGTTCCTTACCTAATGGTCCTTCCCGATTGCACTCACTGTAGATCTGCTTTGTGCCCCCTGTCCTCCTCGTCGCCCTCGTCCTCCGCAGCCATTTTTGCCCACCGGTGCGGCCGCATGGCGCTCCGCGGCGTGGCCGTGTGCGGACTGGCGTCGCCGCGGCGGGCTTCCCGTTGGCCGGCTTCCGCCGCAGTGGGCGCGCTGGTCGCGGCGCTGGCGGTGTGCGGGCGGAGGTCTGCCGGCTCCCGCGGCTTCGCCGCGGCGCGAGCCGCGCGGGCCCCGCCGCCGAGCGGCGCGCCTGGGCCGCCAGGGGCGCTGACCAGGCAGAGCGCGCTGCCCCCGGCGCGCAGCGGGCAGCGGCGCCAGGCCAGGCCGGCTGCGCCCGCTGCCAGGCGGCGCGGCCGGCGGCGCACACGCCCCGCCGCCGGGGCCAGCGGAGCTGACGGCCCCGAGGTGTGCGAGCTTCCCCCGTCCGAGCCGACGACGGCAGAGCTCTTCCGCTTCGCGGTCGGCGTCTTCGGCCTGTACGTCGCGTCACCGATCCTCTCGCTGGCGGACTGCAGCTTCGTGGGCCGCATCGCCGGCACGGCGCAGTTGGCCGCGCTGGGCCCAGGCATGTCTCTTTGCGACGGGCTGACCTACGTGTTCAGCTGCATTGGCATCGCCACGACCAACCTGTACGCCACCCGGCGCGCGCGAGGCCAGTGGCTGGCCTCGCGCAGGGTGGTGTCGGATGCGCTGACGATCGGCCTGCTGAGCGGCTCTGCCCTGGGCCTCGCGCTGGCATTCCCAGGGCGCTGGTTGCTCCCCTTCTTCGGAACGGCGCCCGAGGTCCTGCACCACACGGCGGCGTACCTGACCGTGCGAGCCGGGGGGGCCCCCTTCGCCATGCTGACCACCGTGGCGCAGTCCGTCTGCCTCGGGGAGCAGGACTCCGTGTCGCCCATGGTCGCGGTGATCATCAGCGGCGCGGCCAACGTCATCGGCGACGCGATCCTCGTGCCAATGTACGGCGCCGCCGGCGCGGCCGCCGCCACCGTGGCGGCTCAGGGCGTGGGCGCCGCCTTCCTCCTGGGCACGCTGCGGCGGCGCCAGCGCGACCTGGGACAGTGCGCCGGGGGTGCCGGGCCGCTCGGCGTGCCCTGCCGCGAGCGCCCCCCGCTCTTCACGTGGCCCGCGCGGCCTTCCGCGGGTCGCTTCCTCGCGCTGGCCGCCCCGGTGTTCGTGGCGCTGCTGGGCAAGATGGTGTTCATGAACTCCCTCACGCTGGCGGCGGCCGGGCTGGGCACCGTCGCGCTGGCGGCGCACCAGGTGGCGTTCAACCTGTGGCTGTTCTTCTGCCGGGCGGGGGACTCCCTGGGCGCCGCGGCGCAGGCGTTCTTGCCCGCGGCACGCGTCCAGCCTGGCCCTGAGGCTGCCAGGCGCCTGATCCTGCGGCTGGCGGGCGTCAGTGCGGTGTGGGGCCTCTGCAACGCGGCTGCCTGCGCGGCCCTGCCCGCCCTCGTGGGCGGAGCGTTCTCCCACGACGCCGCGGTGCGCGCGATGGTGAACAGCGTGACGCCGCTTCTGGGGACTGGCCTGATCCTGCACTGCGCCACCCTGATGCTAGAGGGCGTCCTGCTGGGTAGCGCGGACGGGGGCTGGCTCGCGAAGATCTACTGGCTGAACACCCTCGGGTTCGTCTCGGCCCTGTGGTACGCTGGCAAGCTGTACAGCAGCCTCTCTCTGGTCTGGATGGCGATGGTGGTCTTCCAGGTCGTCCGCCTCTCCGAGTTTTCGGCGCGCGTGCGCCAGGTGGCCTGGGCCCCAGGCTCCCGCAGCACGGCGCCCACGGCGCAGGCCGTTGCCTGATGAAGTTGGGACGCCACAGCTCCGAGTTTTCTCTGGCCTCGAGCCGTTGCTCTCCTCCTGTCCTTCTTCCTCCTCCTCTTCCTCTTCCTCCTCCTCCTCCTCCTCCTCCTCCTCCTCCTCCTCCTCCTCCTCTTCCTCCTCCTCCTCCTCCTCCTCCTCGTCCTCCCCCCCTTCCACCTCCTACCACCGCGTCATCCCCACCTCTGCCTCCCCAAACTCCACGTCGAAGGAAGGCGGCCTGAAGAAGATGGCTCCGATGAAAGAGGGGGGACAAGAAAGGAGAAGAAGAAGGCCCAATTCTTCCTCCAGGAGGCAGGCGGGGCCTGCGAGGCATTCTGTTCTCGGGGGTAGCGAGAAATCGCGAAGGTCACTGCGCTTCGCGCTGTGCGAAGCGCGAAGTTAGGTGCTCTAGAAGATCCAAGAACCCGCCCTTCAACAGAGATCAAGCAAGAGTTCAGGACGGCGCAGGGCCTCGAGCCTCAAGGATTCTGGAGGGACCAAGTGCTTCAAAACATTGATCGGCAAAAGCACGGCGGAGAGTGAGCAGCGCTGTGACGAGGGGTAAAGTTGCAGAAGGGAGGTCGTACCGTTCTTCCTTTCTTCGGAAATTGGAGCATATACATTACCAGTGGCGGGCAGGACTTTTTTGAGGGTCGGGGGCGACGTCGGGGTGGTGTGGTGTACACTTGTTTCCCCGTTTTCCTCGGGAAACAACATATACACCAAGATCCCGTACACACCAGGATCCGCTTTCTTGTGCGAGATTCAGTGTGAGGTCAGACAAAGGCGTCGGTGTATATAGAGTTAGGTTCCCTATCTCTGGAAGTCCTCGGGCCCTTGGAGGAAGCAGCCGGGCATTACACGCGCTTGGTCGCACCCCCCTGTATGCGTCCACCCTTGTTATCCTCCCCCTGCTCCTCTCC